TATAATTTTTAGATGTACACCAATTCGGCTGTTGTTACTGTTATAACTCGACATGATACTTGTACTTCAAGTTGCTGGTACATGTCTTACCAAACTCAGCAACAAAAATTAAATCGTCATTCCAAAACACTTCTTTCTGATCACAAAGGAATGGATGTTCTACTTTATTCATATCTCAGTTAATTGCGAGCTTCATATGTTCAAAACCAACGACAAGCAGTCTTAAAAAGAAAGTGTTGATAGCGACTCCACCGTGATTGCGCTCTCCAGGACAGACTTATGTGCATTCTAGTACTTCAAGCCTTGACTGATTCCTGTCGCTGGTGGCGTAATTTGGGATATCCAGAACAAGTCTCTGCCACAGCCGACAATGATTTTACACCCCATTCAGAGGGTTTATGTATACGCTACATTACTCATAGTTTATTTATTTAATTTTCTATAAAATCTCAAGTCAAAATTAAGCAAATTTAATAAATAGCCATGCAGACGTTGCCAAAAGATGAGCTGCTGCGATGCTACAGTATTGGCCGGAATCCCAGACTACAATAGTAGTCATTAACGAAGCAGAAGTCAAAATACAAAAGTCAGTATTCCACAAACCAAAAAGAGCGTGAAGCGAGCACAATATACATATTTAGCTATTACTTTCAGTAGTTTTAGCTATTACTTTGAGTAGTTTTAGCTATTACTTTCAGTAGTTTTAGCTATTAATTTTAGTAGTTTTAGCTATTAATTTTAGTAGTTGTAGCTATTAATTTCAGTAGTTTTAGCTATTACTTTCAGTAGTTTTAGCTATTACTTTCAGTAGTTTTAGCTATTACTTTTAGTAGTTTTAGCTATTACTTTGAGTAGTTTTAGCTATTAATTTTAGTAGTTGTAGCTATTAATTTCAGTAGTTTTAGCTATTACTTTCAGTAGTTTTAGCTATTACTTTCAGTAGTTTTAGCTATTACTTTCAGTAGTTTTAGCTATTACTTTCAGTAGTTTTAGCTATTACTTTTAGGAGTTTTAGCTATTACTTTGAGTAGTTTTAGCTATT